CCCCTGGCTGGGGGATTCGCTCCCATGTCGGGGGTTGCATCCCCTGGAAAAGGAATTCACCCCCTGGCTGGGGGATTCGCTCCCATGTCGGGGGTTGCATCCCCTGGAAAAGGAATTCACCCCCTGGCTGGGGGATTCGCTCCCATGTCGGGGGTTGCATCCCCTGGCTGAGGAATTCACCCCCTGGCTGGGGGATTCGCTCCCATGTCGGGGGTTGCATCCCCTGGAAAAGGAATTCACCCCCTGGCTGGGGGATTCGCTCCCATGTCGGGGGTTGCATCCCCTGGCAAAGGAATTCACTCCATGGCTGGGAAATGAGGTCTCACACCCTGGCACGGGAATTCACTGCATGGCTGGGGGATTCCCCCCATGTCTGGGGGTTCATGCTCTAGCACAGGAATTCACTTCATGGCTGGGGAACAGGGTCTCACCCCCTGGCTGGGGTCTCACCCTGGCATGGGAATTCACTCCATGGCTGGGGGATTCGCTCCATGACCGGGAGTTAGTTCACTCCATGGCTGGGGAATTCATTCCATGACTGGAAACTCACTCCATGGCTGGGGACTTCAGTCCGTGATGGGGACTCACCCCTGGCACAGGAATTTGCTCCTTGGCTGAGGTCTCACTCCCCGTCTGGGGGTCTCACCCCTGGCTGGGCTCTCACCCCTCAGGCAGAGATGCCACCAGAGCGTTTGCCACGGGCGACTTCACCACGTCGGGGCTGGTGGACGACGTGTCGGCGCTGTCCCCGCAGGAGCTGCTCTCCATCCAGGGCTGGCTGAGCTTCTACAATGACAACTACGAGCCCGTGGGTGGGTGCTGGGGCTGGGGGGGCTCACGGGGGACACACGGTGGGGGGAACGGTGGAAGGCTGGGGGCAAAATACCGGGTTTTATCTCCGGGGCATCACCTTGGTGAGGGTCTCTCTGTGCTGCTGACCCCGAACCCTGCGAGTGCCCGGCTGGAGCTGCTGCCCAGGCACACCCAGTTTGAGGTTTGCTTCCCTCTGAGGGGAAGCTGAGTGGTTTTCCCACCCGGGCTGTCAGCTCTGCCCTGCTTTTCCTGAGCCAAAGGCGTGGAGCCAGCCTGAAATCAGCAGGACTTGGGAGACTGCAGGAGCAGCAGTGCAGGAAAACTGTTTTGGGGAAAGAGGTGCATGGGTGGGTTCTGCTGCTGAAAGTGGCTTTGGTTTCTGTCTGTGCCTAAGCTTGTCCTGTGTGGATTTATTAATATGGGTAAATTGCTGGGTGAGCCAAGAGTTAGTTGAAGGGATGTAAGCTCAGTTCAGTTCTAAAATTGGGCCACGGTGACATCCTCCTTTTTTTTGCCTTCAAATAACAAATAAAAAAAGCCACCAGGACTATGCATTTTCCCTGCCTGGAAACACTGTGGTCTTAATTGATCTTCTCTCCCAGGGAAGCTGGTGGGGAGGTTCTACGATGAGAATGGGGCACCCACAGAAGCCCTGAGGGAGGCTGAGGCTGCCATTGAGGAAGCTCTGAAATTCCAAGCAGAAAGTGAGCAGAGGAAGCAGCAGTTCCCACCCTGCAACTCTGAGTGGAGCTCTGCCAAGGGCACCCGCTTCTGGTGCTCCACACAGAGGTAAACTGCCTTCCCACATCGTGGATCCTTTGGAGCAGAGCATTTCTGCCCCTTTTTGGGTGCCCTTTTTGGGTGCCCTGTGTCATTGCTCCCCTGGCAGGAGGGGTGCAGGAAGGTGTCCTGGCTCCTGCAGCCACCACTCCACAGCAGGGCACAGGTTCCATGTGCAGCAGTGCTGCCGTGGCTGGAATACCCCAGGCATGGTCCTTTTCCCTGTCTGCATTCACAGGATTGTTCAGGTGGGAAGAGCCCTCCAAGATCATTGAGTTCCCCCAGCACTGCCAAGGCCACCACTAAAACATGTCCCCAGTTGCCACATCCACAGTCTGTTAAACCCCTCCAGGGATGGGGCTCCTCCACTACCCTGGGCAGCTGTGCCAGGGCTGGACAACCCTTTCCATGAAGGAATTCTACCCAAAATCCAACCTAAACCTCCCCTGGTGCTACTTGAGGCTGTTTGCTCTCATCCTGTCCCTTGTTCCCTGGGAGCAGAGCCTGACCCCCCCCCAGCTCCCCCCTCCTGT